ATGTTTGTGTTATAATTTTTTTTTAAAACTTTTACTAATACCGCCCACACTGGATCAATTTCCTGGGTCCGCTGAAATAGTGAAAGGACACGTTGGTTATGGTTAACCTGTCCTGTTTTGATTATGTAAAAAAATGGGCATGTTAACTGTTTTCTTTATTCTTGTCCCTGAAATATCATAACACAGCTGGATACAGTCTACATGATTCTTTGCCACTAATATGATTATGAGATTATCAGTGTGAAAGGAGAGTAACATGGAAATCAAGTGAGGAAAATTATATAATTTTTCATTAGTTAGTTCTTCAATTTTCTGCATTTGATTAGTTAATGAATCCCTTTTGAAATGACCTGACCGGAAATGCGCCTCTCTTTATATTTTTTTGTTGAATAAATTTTGGTTTTGGTGAGAAGTGTACAACTGATAAATGTTATAAATGACTATTTGACCAGCTTACATAACGAAGCCAGTTAGAGAGAAAAGATGCCTCTTTATGACTGTATGCTTTTGTTAAAGCCCCATGTCACGAAAGAGGCTTTGATGGAATTGGTTTCCCGGGTTGGAAAACATGTGTATAGGAAAAATGGAGTGGTGGCTGATATAAAGTCTTTTGGAACTGTTCAATTGGGTTATGGTATCAAGAAGCTTGATGGAAAATATTTTCAGGTAAACAGCTTTATCGTCATCACTGCACATTAATTTCCTGTACTAAACTTGTTCTATGCTGCCTTTTTGGTTCTTTGCATTAGACTACTACTTCCTGATTAATAATGTGTTAAAATACTTTTGTTATTTTTACTACTTTATATCCATGTTTTACATATTTGCAAATTGTTTGAAATTTAGCTGTATCTTCTAATACAGTCTTATATCTATTAAGAAAGTTGGGTGAAATGGTGTTGCATTTAAAATACTTTACATTCAGTTTTAAATAAAATAAATTGCAGAATTCCTTCATTGATTATTTTAATATGGCAGAGTTGAATTCTTTTTGAATCTCGTGAAGTCTCCGTTTCATTTCTTGCATCCCTTTCGACCTATCTCCTAGATAAAACCCATCTGAAGACTGAAGTACAAGGTACAAAGCAGTAGAAAAGGCAGTAATATATACATAAATCTGTTGAGGATGAGGTGTGAGGAAAAACTACAGTTAAAATCTTGGATTATCAGTTGAAACTGAAGTTCTCTTAAGATATCGACTGTAGATCTTTCGATTGTCTCCATCAGAGTTTTTCTGGATGTGGTGGGATTTTTCAAGGATTAAAAAAATAAATGTTTTGGTAATCCATACCAAAAGTTTCTATTTGTAACCCCAAGGGTTTGGTTGAAGGATCAAGTGTCTAGCTTAAACTCAAAGGTCTCACGCTCAAGTCCCCCCTTCCCCCGTGCATACCTCGCCTTATTTAATCATCAAAAGAAGACTACTTATCTTTATAAAGAAAAAGATTTGCCCCAACCTTCTCTTTAGTCTTTAAAGAAAGAATCTGTTCCCCTCCTTCCCTCAACCTCTTTCAGCTAGACTGACTTCTCTTGTCAAACTGCTTACAAACTGATAAGAACCTGATTATATGAACGTAACAACTGAGAATTGATATTGAATTAATGACGAAATTACAATGAAAAGAAGCACTCAGCCATTCGAGAGGGCTGTAACTCTCCCAATTGGATAAACCAATTTACTCAATATTTTGCATGCCTTCTACCTATATTTATAGCTATTTCCTAACAAATTTCCCTTCCCCAATTGCCCTTGTAACAGAATTCTGTTGCTGCCCCTCCTTCTCAATTCTTCTGGGACCTTCTAGAATGGAGTCCTATCAATACCCCGGGTTTCCAAAATACATTGTCCACAAGGTGAAAGTTAGGAACATTCTGAGTTCTGCCATGGAGCTGCCCCGGTTGAGGTTGTTGTTGAGCTGCTCCGGGATATGCTTTTACGGCTGCCAATAAACATTCCTTCATATCCTGGGCAGCATTAAACTGATTAGGAGTCCCCCCCATCAGCATTCGCCCCAGCCTCACCCGACCACAATCAATTAGAATGGTCTCCTTGAAAATTCCATAACCTGTCGCACCCACCCTCAACTCTTCCACATGCTGAACCCAGTTGGTAGGAGTAAACTTGAAGATAGTCTTGTCACCAAACGTCACAACTTTTGGCTGGTCCGTTCTGCCTCTCACTTTCATCTTCAATTGTAGCTCCTGCTGAACATCGATTGGGGTTTTGGGCATTGATTGCATTGGGCTCTCTCTTTTTTCTTTATTTAGGCCCATTTTACCTAGCGCTTGATTAAGTGAATCCTTACAGCCTTGTTGGGCCATCTCCAAAATCAAGCCCACAGATCTTTTTTGAAGTTGCTCCCAGCTGTAGAACCAATTTCTCGTTTTTGTCCCGAACAACCAAGACAAGGTATATCCATCCAAACTCACTTGGTCCCAGTTGCGACATGGAGTCCTAGCTTTAGCCCACTGCAGCCACGCGAGGGCGTTACCCTCGCCTCCTCTATTCGGCCATTTCACAGAGATCGAATTCCCGACCTGCAGCGACCTCTTTTCCTTCGGTGACGGTAAGATTTCAATTAATCTCCGCCTTCCCCGGAACCACGGGCTTCCAACTCGCACTTGCCGGCCAAGATTTCACTGTCCATCTCCTCCTCCCATTCTCTAATAGCCAGAACTTGCAACTCTTTTTTCCTACACCAATGCCCAATTGCGAATTTCTCACGGCAGTGATAGCATAGCTCCTTTTTTCTCTTAGTTTGGACCTCTGAACCTGTTAGTCGTCTCACTAGTCTGTGAGGGAATGTTGATTTGGCAAAAGGGTTTTGTCCGTTTGCACGAGTTGGGATAAGGCTTATGGGAATTGTTGGTGTGTTTAATGGGCTGGGGAGTTGAGGTGGGTTCGGGTATGTTTTTCGTTTAGGCTTAATTGGGCCGGAATTCCATTGGCCCATTTTGATTATAAGATTTCTATCCTCTGTCATTTGGACCCCCTTAACAATTTGCTCCAAGCCCAAAGGTCTAAGTTGGTGGATTTCGGCCTTTATCTCAGGTTTTAACCCAATTAAGAGATTGTGCTCTAAAATCTCTTCTGATACTCCACCATTCAACTGCGAGGCTAGAGTTTCAAACCATGGGTGGTAATCACTTATTGTGGTGCTTTGCTAGATTGCCAAAAATTGGGCTCTCAAAGACCCATCCTGTGAAGGACGAAACCTCCGCAGCAATCGATTCTTCGCTTCTTCCTGCTTCAGCACTACAACGTTCTTCGAAATTGAGCCATCTCGAAATTTCCACTCATCAGGATCCCCTCCATTGAAAACCGGTACCAGCGTCCTACGATCTCCACTGTCAGCTTTGCACAGTTCCTCGTGGAGATCCCTGCCTTTTGGCTTAACTCCAGTTTCATCCCATTTTGTCGGAATTTCAAGGGTAGAGGTGGCTTCAGTGGTTTGGCAGCCCCTTATTTTTATGGAGAAGAAATTGGGTGCATCTTCAGTGTGATGCTGGATTGTATTCTTCTCCTTCCACCGGTGGTATATGCGTTTCCGTAATTGCAGCAAATCGGGGCTTAAAACTGGAGTAATATGATGGTTTTTAGGGCAGTATGTTGTTGTTAGGCCTTTTATCTTTATTTTATTTAGGCCCCTTCCAACTTCAGCTAGCCTGATTGAAATTCTGCAGTCCTCTTCTTGTTGGACCACCTCCATATCATAGCCCAAAACCTCTAGCTTCACTGCCGGCTTCAACCCATTCCCAAGTTGGCCCTCCATCAACGCTTCAGCATTTGCTTGCAACGGAACTGCCAGTACCTCTAATTCCTCCTTTTCCTTCTTGCCTGATTCCTCCCAGCGGTGCGTGATGCAGGTATTTACTCCAGCTGCCTCCAATTTTGGTAAAATCTCAGAATTCAAGGTGGTTTCAGGTGATGCAGCTGCCGGACCATTTTCCTCCCATTTACACCTCTGTTCGTCCCCTTTGTTCATCATCGGATCCAATTTCTTCATCATTAATGTTAAGTACGAAATTCAGATTTCATGGACTACATATCTTCCAGAAACTGTGATTTCATTACAACCATCCTCGCTTCCAATTTATCAAGTCGATCTTCTAATTCCTTTGCTTCATTAGATGTAATATCCCCGAATGGTTGATCTCCTTACTCTTCTTCCATTTCCTTGCTGAATTTTGTTGCCATCCTCCCTAGAATCGAATGCTCTGATACCACTTGATAAGAACCTGATTATATGAACGTAACAACTGAGAATTGATATTGAATTAATGACGAAATTACAATGAAAAGAAGCACTCAGCCATTCGAGAGGGCTGTAACTCTCCCAATTGGATAAACCAATTTACTCAATATTTTGCATGCCTTCTACCCTCCCTTCTACCTATATTTATAGCTATTTCCTAACAAATTTCCCTTCCCCACTTGCCCTTGTAACAGAATTCTGTTGCTGCCCCTCCTTCTCAATTCTTCCGGGACCTTCTAGAATGGAGTCCTATCACAAACCTAATAACCACTTTTTTCGTATGATGTATTCCTGCCAGCTCAGTTCTAGTGAAGGTACTCAAATCTTAATTTTGGGGGCATTTATTGGTATTGGGTTGCTTTTTTACTTTATATTTTCAATTCTTATCTATTTTTAGTATTGTCTTTCACCAGGAAGAGTAGCTTTTGAATGGGCAAGATACTCTCTCTCTCTCTCTCTCACAGAGGAAAACTTCATAACCTATTGATAAATGATAGGTGTTCAAATTTGAGTTGGAAAATATTATTTCCTTTCTTTAGCCTTTGTTTAGGTTCATTTTCTTTCGCTTAAATTTTACTTTTCAAAGTCAAACATCAATTCTAATCATATATTTTGTAGGACTCATAAGTACTACCCATTTATTCATCATTCATTCATTAAAAAGTAAATATAAGAAAAAGAAAAAGAAACCCAGACAAAAGGCTTAGTAGTAATGAAAGAGATCTTGGCTGACTTTCATTTCAGTTGGTATGAAAACTTATTTTAGAATCTATTATTGGCTCTTGTTTCTGTCGAGATTTTAATAGTCAGCAGGTAATGTCTTGAGCCTGTGCTAAAGTCATTGTATAAATTTCTTTAATTGCTAATTCTTTGACTTTTGTGCCAGAGTTTACCTTTTGTTGATGTGAGAGCTAGCTAGTGTTGCTGAAGCTTTTGCTCATTAGGAGTGTATAGAAGCTCTAATAAGTCTGATTTATCTGAATGTTGCATTTGCTTTAAATTTGCCAAAGCCGGGTTACTTCATCTGAAAATCAGGATATCTATAATCTATATATCATAGAATGTCTTTAGTTGATATATTGCACTGTTTTTTCCTCGTGTATTTTGTTTTTGTTTTCATTTGTCATATTCTCACAACTTTGCTTCACTATGTCGGAGGGTAGGGGTTTACTTTTCTTCTATATTATCTACTCCCTTTCTGTTATCTATTTATTATCATTTTTTTTTTTGGGTGTTTGATTTCGAAACTGGATTTGGATTCAATCACAGCCGTTTTGTATGATTTCCCTGCTTTGCAAATTGATGCTGAAGGTTACCAGTTCATACCCTTTATAGACTAATTCTATAAATATCATTTAGGGCCAACTGATGCAAATGACGATGATGACACCCCCCAGTATGAACAAGGAGCTGC